TTGGTTTTTTTTTTTTTCCAAAAAAATGTCTCCCCTTAGCCCAGGGGCTGAACCCAGCCAGTAGACGTTTTGTTTGGCCTGCCAGGATGTTCAATAAAAGTTGTATTTGCTTTTAACAGTCTAAAAAGGTAAACATTTTATGCAAAACTCCAAGTTTTGGGCTTCTCTTGACCATTAGGGGCTATGTCCTTGCCTAACTGGCATTGCCACATGGCAGCCGGCGGCTGAAGCTGAGGGGTGGCTGCCCCCGTAGATGGGGCCCATGCTGTCCGGTTCACCTGTGTCCCCACCATTCCTTCTCGCTTTATACTTTCCTCACTTCACCATCCAGCTGAGTCTGCGGGAACGTGAGTTTGTGACCCCCACGTGGAATGTCAGCATGTCCGTTTTCCTGGCGATGGCGGGGAAGGGGAAAGCTAGTCACTCTGTGCTTCTGATTTCAATTTGATCAAAGTGGAGAAAGATAGAAAAAAGGCCCTTCCTACCACAACACACACAGTGGAACCCCAGTCCTGAGCATTTAGTCTGCAGACTGAGGGTAGGAGAGCATCGTGGAGTTGTAGCTTTATAAGAGCTAGAAGCCCAGAGAGGTTAAGCGATTTGGCACAGGTCACACAGCAAGAGAGCAGCAAGCTGGGCCAGGTCCCAGAGGGGTGGTGCCTCTCTGTTTGCTTCTGGGACCCCATCTGTGTGAAGTGTGATGGCCTCGCTGCTACCGTCCTACCTTCCTCCCCTTGTTCCCTTCCAGTCTCCACAACCCTGTGGAAACAGAAGGCTAGCCTCTTCCCTCTCTCAGGACCCTCGGCTGCCCTGCCCTCTCTGCAGGCCTTAGCTGGCATTTCAGCAGATCGATCCCTTAGGGGTGGGGGGTTCTGCTGCCATGACCGTAGAAGAACCTTGGCCCCAAAGAGCCACTGGGGAGGATGTGTTTGTTGGTGTCCCTGCTGAGAGGCTGTGTGGTCAGCAGGAAGCTCTCACTCTTTCTCATGTCCCCCAAGGCAGGTGGTTCTTGCCTCCTTTTGTTTAACACCAAGGAGGGGAAGGAGAGGTGTGGCCACCCAAGGACGCCTGCTGGCCATGGCTGGACTGCCTGGGGCCCCAGAACCTGCCGTCATCAGCTCCTGGTCCCATCAGTTCTGGGGCACTGAGCGTGGCCTGGACCGAGCATTTGGGCACAATGACTCTGTGCCCGTCTGGCCTGAAAGAGAACTAGGGCTGCCCCCCTCAGTGGTCAGTTAACAGTCTTCCCATGGAGGAGGGCCTGGGGGACACTGCAAGGTGGCATCTATGCATCTCTGAATCGGCCCCCAGCATTCCCCTGCCCTGCCCCCCGCAGCTCCCAGAGGACAGAGTGGTTGACAGTCACTCTGTCCACCCCATCACCCTCCCCTTTCCTCCCCACAGTGTCCACTCTGCTCTTGGCTCCAAAAACCAGGCCAACCACCCACGTACCTCAGGCAGCAGGCCAGGGGTGCACCAGCTCAGAATTGCAAGCTGCAAACAGCAGGAAGTGTTCAGTCCCGAGGTTTTCAAACAGTGTCCTGCGTGAGGGCCCAGAGGGGTCTTGGGATGAGGCACGGCAGGGAGGATGAGGCCCTGAGCCCCTCACCCACATTAAAAGCAGGGCAGTATTTTTATAGCTGTTCAATCTCTATTTATTCATTCTGCAAATATTTATTGAGCACCTGCTATGTGCCA